TCTAACACCCCGCCCCATTGGCAGCCTCCCCCAGGGAGCCAGCCCTGCACAGCCTCGCGGCTCAGAGTGCAGGTGCAGCGCCAGGCCCAGGGCTTCCCGGCTCAGACCATGGGGGGTCACCGGTCCATTGCCCCACTGCAAGGCCTCAGTTGGAGCCACAAGTGCAATGTCCTTTGCAATCTCACCCTTCCGGTCTGTTAGGCCCCAGCCTGCACTGAGCTGAGATAACAAAGTGCCGGCTCATCGCCTCTGGGCCAGGTGGGCGGGGGAGGGCACTCACTTCTCTCCTGGTAACGGGGTCCCTCTGACTCTCCCTGTGGCCTTGTATTCAGCCTGTGGTCGCCTTCAGCCCCGATCCCTTGCCACAGGGCTCCCTCCCAGCCAGTCGCTGCCCGTTCTGTGTGTGTGGCACGGACTGCACCTGCCTCACGGGGACTGTCGTGGCTCCTTCCCCACTCTGGCATGATAAATGCAGAAGTGGGGGCCAGCAAGTGTACCCCAAAGCCTTATCTACCAGGCTTTGGTATAAAACTTCCCCCAACTGGACAGAAGACTCCAAATGAGCCTAATCAGCTCCGAGCGGAGCGGAGCGGAGTTGAAGAATGACTTCTTGTGTCCTGCTTACAACACTCCTACACACAGCTTAGTTTATGATGCAGACAAGAAGCAAGACCTAAAAGCAAACCATGTCCCAAGATAGACTAAATGACCATAAGAAGCCATGGTCTCTTCCGGCCTTAACACCGGGGTCTGCATTTATGAGCTTAACTGATGCGTATCTACCAACAGCGCAAGCCATTCCTTCCCGCTAATCAGGAAGGGCGGCTGGGAAGGTGAGACAGAAGGATACAGACCTTAGAAGCCAAACATACAGAACTTAGAGCCTTCATTATACTTCTTATATTCTTATACAAACCCTAAAATGCTACATTTTGGCTACAGTTGTTCCTTCCTAAGTGGAGCGCTCTGCATTTGTCCTTATTGAATGTCATTCTATTTACCTCAGACCATTTCTCCAGTTTGTTCAGATCATTTTGAACTTTATTCCTATCTCCCAAAGCACTTGTAACCCCTCCCTGCTTTGTCTGCTCCACAGACGTTAGACGTGTGGGACCAGGGCCGGCTTTGCCGATTCCACTTATTCCCCAGAATCGGGCCCTGCGCCTAAGAGGGCCCTGTATCCTAATGTCGTGGTCACCTACCAGTCGATCATGATCGACCAGTCGATCGCGAGGTGTACAGGCGTCCCCACTACCTTTTCCCCCCACCCCTGAGAAGCCCCCCAATACCTACCTCTAGCGTAGTGCCAGCTTCCCACGGGTTGGACGGACGTCCTCCCTGCAGCTCTGACCACTTCCGGGGGTTCCGGAAGTGCGCTCGCTGCTCCCCTTGCACAGCTCTGCGGTGGGCCGGGTGCGCTGCGGGAGAGGGCGTTGGCCCCGGAGGGGGAGCACAGGAGCTTCTCTTCATCGCAGGAGTGGTGAGTCGAGCACAGGGGTTTCCCTGCACCGTGGGAGAGGGGGTCAGCCCCAGGGTTTGGCCCCGGGGCAGGCGTGTGTGGGGGGTTGGCTGTGCCGCAGGAGGGGGGTTTGGCCCTGGAGCAGGTGCGAAAGGGGATTTGACTGCACTGCAAGGGGGGGCGTTGGCCCCGGGGCAGGCATGTGCCAGCTTCCCTCTGGGGAAGGGGGGGGGAGAATCCTGGGAGGTGGGTGCAGGGGACTCTCTGCCCCCACTGACCCCCTGTCCTCACTCCCCAGCTCCCTGTTCCCTCTCCCCAGCCTGAAAAACCTGTCCCCACAAGCACCCTGTCCCCTACCGAAGCACCCACTAGCGCCCTTCCCCAGTATTGTCCCCTGCTCCCACCAACACAGTTGGGGCCACATTAGTGAAGCTTGGGGGACGGGGGGTTGGAGGAGGGTTTTTTTTGCATCTCACTTGTGTGGCCCTGTGACGTAGTGGGGGTACCTGGCTGGTTTCTATGCTGCTGGCTCTGGGGGAACCCCCACTGGCTGTCGTGGGGACCACGACCCAGCAAAACAGGATGAGTCACTATGCAAACGGCTGCCCCAGCACTCTGTCCCCTGTCCCCATCAGCACAGTTGGGGCCACATTAGTGAGGCTTGGGGTTTTTTGGAGTGGTTGTTTCTTTGCATCTCACTTGTGTGGCCCCGACTGACTTTTCTGTGGTCAGTGACCCCTGACTCAAAACAGGTTCCCTGCCCTTCTCAGAAATAAAGACAATGCAGAAACTGTTTGTGTTTGTCATAGTATTTTATTTGAAAATGCAGCCTGGCCACAAACCTCCAATTGGGGCCATGCCCCCATCTGGCTGCAGTATCATAAAACTCCTGCACTCCCCTTTCCCCCAGAGCCTATGTCTGAAAATCAGTTGTACAACTATCAAAACATACATGATTGTCCTAATCTGAAAGGGTCTGTCTCCACTACCCTCCTAGTTCGAACTAGCGGGGTAATGTAGGCATACCACACTTGTTAATGAAGCCCGGGATTTGAATTTCCCGGGCTTCATTAGCATAAGCAGGGAGCTGCCATTTTTAAATCCCCGCTGCTTCGAACCCCGTGCAGCGCGGCTACACGGGGCTCGAACTAGGTAGTTCGGACTAGGTGCCTATTCCGAACTACCGTTACTCCTCGTGAAACTTCGTAAAGCCGGCCCCGTGTGGGGCCCCAGGGAAAGGCCAGAGCCTCACTGGAGGGGTGGGGCAGAGGGTGGGGCAGGTTGTGTGTGAGTAGAAAGTTGGCTACCTTAGGCAGGGTCTGGGCCACGGCATCTTCACTGCGTATTTCTGTCCTACCAGCGAGCCAACAGCTGACCCGGTGACGCCTTCCTGAGCTACACACCCCTGGGCCTGCCGTGAAGCTAAACCCTTAGGCCTGGTCTCCACTGTCAAATATTGCCACCCAAACCTGCCCTTCGGCAACAAAACAGGGGGACTGTTCGCACTGCGATTCGACTGCTGTCGGGGAAATGTCCGGTTTTGGCGACAAAATACTTCCACCCTACGAGACACTTTTTTTCTTTTCTCCTCCCTTTATTGTCGATGGAGAGCCAGGGTGGCCTCCGCTGTTTGTTTTTTGGAGAGAATTGGCTTCTGCCAGCATCCCACGATGCCTGCCCTGAGCCCTCTGCTCAGTGTTCTGTGACCTCTGCTGCCCTGGAGGCCTGTGTCCCTTGCCTTTCAAATCTCGAGGAAGTATCAGTAACAGCCAGCTACTACCATTCCCCATGCTGTACTTTATCCTCATGGTCTGATGCCAGTGCCCCCAATAGGCCTGTCCAAACTGTCCCCACTGGTGTCTGACCCAAGTCACCCCAATAGCACTGAGAGGGCTCCCTAGAGCACCATGGATCTCAACACTGTCAGGGGTGATGGGAGGACCATCTTTTAGTGTATCTCTTAGCTGAGCCCTGACAAGCACGTGCGCCTGGCCACAGCCCAGCTGGCAGGTGGATCGTGACTCCACTTATCGCCACTTGCCTGGGCAGGAAATGACTGTATCTGCCATCTTCCCAGAGTTGCATGTTCACTATCGATAACTGCTCCCCTCTCAGCCCCTCCCCCACTGGTCTATAAATGCCCAGGCAGGGCCAGTGCCCCGTCAGGCTGCACTTGGACCGACCCGGCACCAGAGCAGCTCCCCAGCGACAATCAGGTGAGTCCCCGGCTCCCTCCCGCGTCTCCCCCTGCGCTGGTGGCTGGTGGCAGTGGGTCCATTGCTGGGCTGGTGCCTTGTGTGCGCCAGGAACCCCTCTGGGTCTCACTGCTTCCCGTGCA